ACTTATTACATTGCCTAAGAGGCGGTATAAAGAAATCGACATTAAGTTTCACATATTCAAATATCACTTGCTTGGGTATTTCATTCCCTGTAAAGCCTACTTTCAGAGTTGTTGTTGGGATGTAATCATTATTTATGGGATCTTTACGCGTAAAACGCCTAACAGATCTTATTGGAATGCTTGATTTGGCTTCTTTTAAAAAGTCTTCCTCTTTAAAGAAAGTTGGTACACCCCTAATGACACCATATATTTCAAGGGCAGTCATGGGTACAAAAGGTCTAAGGCCTCTTTTAGAAAGGCTGTCGTCTAGAACAAAATTGTTGGCTGAACAGGTATTTTTAAAGATTACTTTATATAAAGTCCTACCCAAAGCAAGAATAAGGTCTAGGTCTTTTATTCTTAAGTCTTTTATTTGGGCATACAGTGTAAGTCCTGTAGTCGTTTTCTCATTTTTTATGTTCGGGCATTCCGATGCATCAACGAGTACAAAAATCTCGCCCTTAAAAATTGGCGGGTAAACGTTAATTATTGGCGCGTTTTTGTTCACACTATTTTCGCTGGTTGCAACTGTTTCAGACGGGGCATTTGAACCACATGCATTATCGTTTCTAACCTCACATTCCATATTAACAGGCTCACCAGCACTGCACAATTTTTGATCTTTTTTCCTAATTTCTATGAGCCCACCGCCAGTGGCCAGCTCATAGAAAGAAGAAACTTTCTCATTGGAAACGATTTTAGCTTTTTTATTTGCCCTATCCTCTTCAGATTCACTCTTCCTGGCTGTTGCCGACCCATTGGCCGGCAACCCCATTCTTGATTTTAATTTTGCGCTTGCCAATAAAGGCAGCTTTTTTCTTTTTTTAACCGGCACCTCGACAAGAAAATCTTTTCTCTTCACTCACAAAACAGAAAAGAACAAATGTAGCCGTGATCTACTCACCTGATCTGGAAACTGCTGAACCCAAAATTATTAGTTTGGTTTTTATCTAGCGCACGACGAGAAATATAATTTAAAAAGAAAATTTATTTGAACACAATATTAAGCACACGAAACACGCGGCCCACACAAAAAGCCTGTATTTAAAAGGTTTTGCAAAAACTAGTTTTTTCTAAAAACGTGGGTGACTGTACGGTAACACGAAAAAAGACACTAAACGCGACGATCCTATCGCTCTCGTTGCCAAAATCCGAATGCGTCGAATATACTCTAGAATTAAGTATTTGAATAAAAAATAAATGCTCAAAAGCATTGGGCTAATAAAAACAAGAAAATTGCCAACACGGTTTTATAAATAAATATGTAATTTTGAGTAAGTAGATATGCATTTCCACATTTAGGCACTACTCCGCACATTACGCGCCTAATCATAGTAGAGTAATCGTTTTGTCATGTCAAAACGAATGCATGACGACTCGACTTCTGCACACTTGGGCGCCCTGCGTAAGCCCTGCTTGCGCGAACATTATACATTTTCTCGCCGGTCTTTCTCACTAATACAAAGTTTCTGCAATAAAATATTGCATACACGTTTATGGCTCAATACAATTGGCACGAGTTTTAGCACAAAAGCAGTAAGTTTCACTTATTTTTTACTGAAATGATAAATAATTTTTATTTCGAGAACAAAAAAGTAAACAAATACCGATATCAAAACGCCAAGCGCCTTAAGGGCCATTCACATACAACTTTCCTCGCTTTGCTTGACAGTTCAAACTTTGACAACAAAGCGTGAAACGCAGAAGGTATGCTACAATAAACGCTTTGACAGCTTTTGCGTTCTCCTTTTCCTCCATATATTTTATCTGTAAAATAGATAACAATATAAGAATATGCATTAATAATAGCAATAAAAATTCCTATTTACTCTATTTTTGCCATTAAATGCAAATGCATGCGCACGAGAAAAGATACATGTAGACAGCTGATTGCCAAAGCGGGCAAAAGTTGAGAGTTGCCCAAGATTTTGCTTCGTTTTGCTTTGCTTCAAACGTTTTTTATGTGAGCATACTCATGCATATGCCTACATCGATCTTATATGTCAAAGCAAAGAACTATCAAGCAAAGCGAAGAAAGTTGTATGTGAATCAGCCATTACAATGTTGGGCGCTTCGATTCATGAAGTTTTAATGATTAGGCGAAAACATGATTATGAATCGTAATATACAGAGCTTCATTGAAATACATGTGTTCGGTATAAAAGCTTCATACTTTAGTACGCCGGAACGATTACACTACTATGACTAGGCGTTTAATGTGCGGAGTGCTTTACATTAAACGAAAATACAAAAACTAAAATGAAGCCGAATTTAATGTGATTTTAAATATTTTCATATTTACAAAAACTTTCATTTCATAGCTATTGAATTTTATCAAATATGGTACATGCATAACAAAGGGTTAATTTCTTTGTTTACGTTCTTTGACATTTCAGTCAGGTATGAGAGAGCTCGACTGAATTGTCACTTCTACCTTGTTGAATATGCCTTGGGCTAGACTCATTTCTGACTTGTAGTTTCTTTTACATTTTCTCTTATCTAGAGAAACCGAAAATACCATGCGATTCATCGAAAAACTGTCGCCTGAACAATTTGAGCACCTTAATGTACATATTTTAAAAGTTCTAATTTTTTTTACTACGAAATGTCTAAAATTTTTTCTACCCAAAAGCCGGGACATTTTGCGTCCCGGCATGTGTTGTACCGGGACCGGGACATAGCTCTAAAATCCGGGACAGTCCCGCCGAAAACGGGACGGTTGGCAACCGTGGCTTGGCTTTGGAGCAATAGTAGAAAAGCTTTTGGCATTGTTTAACCGCCAAAACATGTGATGAATCAATTACGGCGGTTTTGAGAGTAACAGCCATTCGCAGGAGGCGTGAAATTGTTGCTCCCTCCGTTTGTGTACCAATAAGCAGACGCACACCACAATTTGGAGGAGAAGCTCGTCCAAACACTTAAGGCGATTTCGTTGCAACCGAAAAATGCAACCTTCTCCTTGCATGGCCGCAGAGAAGGCAGCATTTTTTGTATAAATGAAAACGCCATTAGTAAAATGGTAACCGCCAAAATGTTAATATATATACATACATATGAAGACTTTGGGATGTAGATGACTGTACCTGGTGTCTAAAATACAAACCGTTGATGGTGCTTTGCGGACCTTGTGGATGCCGCCATGAAACTCCTTTGACTTTGTACCACCATGGTGCGCTCGCAACACGAAAGTCTTCGTACATCTTTTGCATATCTGATGTTAGAAGAGACTTAAATAAGAAGCTATCCCCGAATCTCTCTGCTTCAGTAGTATAATTCGTAGACTTAACAAAGTCCATAAATTTGGTATTAGATACTTCGTATTTGTCAATATAGAAATCTGATATAATAACAACACGCTCCGGCGACTCGCCATCGCTAACGAAATGTGGTTCATCAGTCCCGATAAGAAAACTTCCGGCCGGTATGACGGACATTAAGGGATCTTCTGGGTAATAATTACGGCAGTGATTGTTGTCCTTTTCGATTTGATGGCAAACCGGAAATTGTTTGGTTTCTATGGCTGAATTGCTTGATTTGTCCGACTCTCGATCCACGCCTTTGTTGCAAGCACAGTCCGCTCGTACACGGTTTACATAGCAAAGAAGGCAAAACAACACGAAAGTAACTCGAAGCATAACTATGCCCGCTTTATTGGAATGAAAAAGTATAAATATACACACCAATAAATGTATAAATTGTAAATATAGGTATGAAACCATATGAGTAAATACAAGTACATACTCGATACTTTTCGATAGTATCAATACTTTCGATTGGTATCAATACTTTTGAACTAAAACCCCTATTCAGCAACACTTTCGGATTTATAGCCCTTTTTGCGTGCAATGACAAAACTCGCCGTTATAACTATTGTCATGTTTATAATCAATTGGCGAAAATTTTCCAATGCGGAACCCGGCTCTAAAAAAAAAAATGAGGGGATTTAGAGCGGCTTTTTGTGATTGTAAATCTGAGAACCCCACCCTCCGGAGGCTTATAGTTTTTATGAAAATTGAAAGTTAAGTTGTTGAAAAATGTCAACTTCAACCTCACTTATTGCTTTGTAAGCCAATTGTACTTCAATGCCTGTGCTGCCACACAACAAAAAATGCCCAAAAAAAACACTGAAAACGAGAAACAATCTAAAACGGGCATTATAATTAATTTTTTTTAAATTAAATATCGATGTATTGATAAAAAAGGGATTCAGTCTAAAATCGAGAGCTTTTGTAATAAAAATGTTAACTTGGTTATTTATCGAAGTATTGATTTTTATGGGAAAAGCGGCGCAGGCGAAAATTTTTAATAAAACATCACGCGATTTTTTGTTAACAATTTTTATTATTTATCGAAGTATTGATTTTTATGAAAAAACCGCCGCAGGCGAAAAATTTTAATAAAAAATCGCGCGATTTTTTATTAAAAATTTTCATTATTTATCGAAGTATTGATTTTTATGGAAAAAGCGCCGCAGGCGAAAATTTTTAATAAAAAATCGCGCGATTTTTTATTAAAAATTTTCATTATTTATCGAAGAACTGATTTTTATGGGATAAGCGCCGTAGGCGAAAATTTTGAATAAAAATTTATCGATGTATTGATTTTTATGGAAAAAGCGCCGCGCGTGATTTTTTATTAAAAATTGTCATTATTTATCAAATTATCGATGTACGTTTTCTACATTTGTGTACTTTGAACTATAATAACACCAGTAAATGTTATTTCCCCCCAAAAAAAATTATACCGTTATGATCAGGAGTAAGACCCCTATCGATCCTAATATTATTTTTTTTTTAATAAGAGCAATGTACGTATTGTACACTTATACCCCTAATTATACGCACTTATATGTGGTGTATTTTTTTTAACGTATGGTAGCAATCATTTTGTGTTACTGTCAGCCATTGTTATTTCTGCTTGTTTTGTGAAATGTGCAAACGTTTGTGAAGACATTTCTAAACGCGTTTTACTTAATTAATTAATTAACAATTGTATATTAAGGTATTACAAACGCATGTGAACCTTTTAAGTATAATATAGTTGCGTTCCAGATGCTTCACGATTTGCAGGTTTTTACAGGAAGTCGTTCCAGGTGACCACCTCCCATAAGGTTTATTAATGGGGAAAACAGCTGTTCCTGCAAATCTTGAATATCGTGAAGCATCTGGAACGCAACTTATATTTGTGTAAATAAAAGTGATAGGTGTGGAGTTATAATAAAATGTGGTGATAGCAGGTGGGATATTTAAACAACTAATAACTTAAGTACTATTAGCAACAACATTGTGAAAGTGATAAATATAGTTAAAGGAGACCTCCATTAGTATCCCCACCGAGTTTCATAAAAAAATTCACTATACTTTGCACGGAATAGCAATTGGTTCCGTAATAGAAATCTCAGCCATCAATTGTCACTTTTACACCATGTTCTGACCGACAACGAAAACACTTTGAAAACGTGTTTTGGGAGTCTGGGCTGAAGGCTGTTCACACCAGCTGTTAGTGTTTTCGTTGACATTTCTTACATCCTCTGATTACAGTTTTGCTACACAAAAACAAAACCAAAATGCTTTTCCCTTATTTTCTTTTCATTAGCAACCTCTTACTTTCATTCTTATTTTAATTTTGCCAGCCAATTAACAATAAATCCGAAATGGCGTATTAAATATGATAAAATATGATTTCCACTTCGATAATCGAAAAAAAACTAGTGAAGACACCGATTGGAATGAGTGGAACGTGAGCATTCCCACGACAGCCGGTTCTACGTACCGGAATGACTCGGGTTTTACCCGACCAAGGGCTGTTGTTTCGGCGATCTAACCCCGTTTAGGTCGGCGAAATCCATCAAGCGTTGCTCGATCCTAGGACTACACCATGAACCAAAAATACAAGATCACGTAAGAACGCGACGTTGTATTTGTAATTGGTTTTGAGAAAAAAGTTTGCGAAAGCGGGTTCGTCAGCTGAGCGTTTGTTTACATCACAAGCACCACTATTTTACACTTTTATTCAAGTAAAGAAGAGTTAATTCAACATGACAACACATTTTAAAGCATTTTGTTGCATCATTTTACCTAAATTGTGCGTTTAAAGTGGCTGACAATAATTTTGGNTCGCTCGTTTTCCAGTGAAACAAGATGGCGTAGAACCCGCTAAAAAAATCGACTTTTTTCACTCTCTTGTTCTTACGTGATCTTGTGTCTTTCGTTCATGGGGCTACACCTTCTCCGCACCCTTCTGCTAACTGCCTGTCTCCACAGGATAAAGTTTATATCTTGATACATATGTCAGAATATAATTTGCCAATGGAGACCGCTCATTGCTCTTCGAGAGCAATATATATCAGAGCTTATATCTTGCCATCTATTGCCGGCAATAAACTGTCAGATTGGTCGTTTGACAGCAGTACTTTCATTTTACCGAAAATCTCTTCGTGGCAACATAACTGAAGTTAAAAAGTGGGTTGGCGCCTTTTTTGCTCTTCGCAGATTTCTTAAACAAAATCACAGCATCAAAAAGAACGAGCTGCATAAATAAGTAAGTATTTATAGTTTAGAATTCATGCAATTCAGCAATAATTTTAATTTTCATATTGTAGAATATACTTATAATGGATTGGCGTATGGCTGAGGTGTTGAAATTAATAAATTTATATAGGCAATACGAATGCCTTTGGAATTTCCAAAGTTCGTCATATAAACGTCTTGATCAAAAGCAAAATGCGTGGCTACAAATTTCACAAGAATGTGGGAGAGGTATTGATGAAGTGAAAAAGAAAATTAAAAATTTACCGTCAGCAGACGTTACCGAAAAGAAGAAAATGGACAGTTTAAAAAAATCGGGTTCGTCAGCGGACATGCTCTATGAACCACATTCATTCTATTTCGATGAGATGTCCTTTCTTGACTCCGTCGTTGTTTTACGGAAAACTTCAAGCAATATGAACAANGGTATTGATGAAGTGAAAAAGAAAATTAAAAATTTACCGTCAGCAGACGTTACCGAAAAGAAGAAAATGGACAGTTTAAAAAAATCGGGTTCGTCAGCGGACATGCTCTATGAACCACATTCATTCTATTTCGATGAGATGTCCTTTCTTGACTCCGTCGTTGTTTTACGGAAAACTTCAAGCAATATGAACAATGTAAGTAAGAAAGTGTCAGTGCTTCATAAAATACCCAGTATATGCCATGCAAAAATATATATTAATATGTACATGTAATCAAATTGAAATATTAAGAGGCAGACACATGGGATACTTTAATTACTCGTTTCAATGCTTTGAATAACTTGGCGTTTACTAACTAAAATAATATAAGCTTCAAATGTTTTTATTTTGTATAAATATTCATAATAGAAAAATGTGGAAATTGCTGTGGAAGCCCTGGAAACCGTGGATGACCACTTGAATTTAACACTGACGGAAGACATATTAGGTTTGTATAGTAACCAATAGTCAGTACTAACTTGTACTGGGACCTGCAAATTTTTACTGGAAAAGTGTATGATAACCCAAAAAATTTGCAAGAGAGCACTAAATCGAGAGCGTAACAACACGGGAGAGCTGCAAATTCTTGCTAGTGAAATTTCTACTAGCAGAAATTAGCTAGCAAAAGAAGAAGAAGAATAAACGTCAAAAGCCGCCATTTGTTGAATTGGTTTAGCACAAACAAAAGTAAAATGAGTAGAAATCAAAATATTAATGATGTACTGGACTGTGTAAGTGCGTGTGTGTAAAGCAAAGCGTTTAAAAATGATTTATAAATAGTAAAATGTTTACAGCAGAATATCAAAACAGCGCAACAGCTGTTCACTTGCAAGTTTTTCCTAGTTTTGTGTTCATTTACTTTTTCTGCTAGTTTTCTGTTCTTCTCAATTTTACGCTCTATTTTGCTTTTACGCTCTCGTTGCAATGTTTTACTGGAGAAGTTACTATACAAACCTATTACCGACACAATCTCCTTCGCCTACTCCATCAACATCAACATCTTTATAGGGCATTCGCACGTGGCGATTTTACAGGCACCTTTTAGTTGAAAGCAAAAATCGCCTCGTCCGAACGGCCTTTCAACTAATCGCTTCAACAAAGTTGGTCGCCAGTCAACTTTGAGCTCGTTCAACTTTTTTTCCTTGCAACCCTGTGTTTGTTTACATTCTGTATCAGTGTTGGGAAATGAAACTGTTCCTTCAGTACGAAATCTATACAAAAAATGTACTTTTCGGCTATAAATTGTATACACTTTTTAATTCGCTCATATATTTTCTTAGTATATTCCCTTCAAGACCAATGATTTTATGGTATTCATGAGAAAGTTTTATTGTTTATGAACATACGTTTACGTATTTTACACTTTTACAAATTGATTCCACGCGCACATGTACTGCATTTAACGCAAATATGTATGTACACATTTTCAGGTATACATCTTAACAAAAATCATATTTAAGTTATTATTAATGGATAAAAGAGACATTTTCCTTTGGATTCAGTACTAAAATTTGACATTTTAATAGTACTTCAAGTGCTTATCAAAACTTTACGACAAGATTTGACCATTTATCTTATTATTATTCAATTTTAATTATTGTTTTTAAATACTGTTTATATTTTAAGAAATGCCGTACAAATCCAAGGTTCAAACTTTGTGCAACATTAAAAAAAAACAACACACTTTCGTAAAAATTTCGAACTTTTTAATTCGATTTCCTAGATTTATTTTGAGTGTGCGGTTTTTTAGCCCACTAAATTTTAATATAATTAAGTTTTTTAAGATTTCTTTGATGAAGGTGTTGCTAATTTTCTGACATCGTCGACAAAAAAAATTGCCAAGTTCAACGGTAAGTCCCAGCTACTTTAAACTTGCACTTTATTATACTAAAATTGAATGGGCTAAAAACTAAAGAATATTAATAAAGCTCGAAATTTTTACGAAAGTATGTTGGTTTTTGGATGTTTCGCAAAGATTTAATCTTGGGTTTATACAGTTTTTCTTAAAGAATACATTATATTTTATAAACACATAATTATAATTAAAGAATAATAAAATAAATAGTAAAATCTTGTCAATATGTGAGTGCCGTAAAGTTATTATATTTAAGAAAATCTCTTCTTATAACTAACGAAGACTTTGTTTCTATATGAAGCTGACTTCGACATTTTGTTTTAATAAAACTTAGTATCGAAAAATTTCTTTAAAAATTTGCCTAGGCTATATTCTACTGGTTCGTTCAAGCCATTTTTCAAAATTTACAAAGGTAAATACGAACAGGCGAACAAAAGAGAATACAAAAAATTTCTTGCTGTGAATTTTCAGAGCTATATATTTTTAGTATTGATTACAAAATTGTACTAAAAAGTACTGCGTAGTAGGAAAGTATATTGTAAATGAAATTGTATCAAACAAGTACAATTGTACCAAAAATGCCAACACTGTTCTGTATACATACTTTTTCTGCTTTTCTACTTTTTTACTCTTATTTTATCTTTCAGCTTCGCTAAAAGCACTTCTACCAACGCTTGGCTTACCAAATTTACGCCAATTGATAAAATTTTGCGATTTAAATTCATTTTCAATAATGTAAATAACGATTCGTGTGGAATCCAAAATCACCTCGTCTGAATAGGGATGGCAACTTTTTCACTTTCAACTTCTCATTCAACTACGTATTCAACTTTTGTTGCCTGTAAATCGCCCCGTGCGAATGCCCTATTAGCAGCATCTCAACATCAGTCAAATGGGAATAGTGAGCACGATATTTTGGAGCTTGCTATGGCCGACGCAGACATAAGTTTCTAAAACCAAATTGTGTTTGCTCCAAATCTAATGTAAGCATTGTAAGATACATATGTGTGTATATATGTTTATAATTTTTTTTTACTGATATTACAGTGAAACAGTAAATTGACAACCTAAACCAAATCAACTCCAAACGTTATTATCGTTTTTATACACCATGATGGAATAAAGAAAGGTGTTATACGTTCGCTTTCTTCTTGCTCTAATCGCCATCTTGAACTCCCTTAGAAATTTCAATTTGCTGCTTTGACATAGTACTTTTTATATCAGAGCCATTTTCATGAAAAAGTACTAAAAATGGTACTCACCCAAGCAAAAGCATAGATCGACATGCATTGGCATCACTGATCGCCTTTTTCGTCTTTGTTTTTATCTCTGTTTCGTTGACAATAGTTAAAATTAATTTTTATTAGATAAAATAAAAAATTCCGCATTTAAAATTTTTTTTTTGGAAAAGAATTGCTCAAATCGTAAGTATTTTATGTATATCCGATAAAGAAACTATAAATAAAACTATTCCAAGGGTGTTTTGCTGTTTTGTGTGCCCGTGCATTCCATCAACTTGATCGGCTGCCTCTTGCCAACATTGTTTGAATTACTGCAAAACCATCGCTGCACTCGTAAGTACTTTTGCAAAATTTTATTAAGCAGCTATTAACGATTTTTTTTTTCATAGGTTTTCACTTGCTTTGGTTCGCTGCCTATGTACATCTTGGTGCCAGCTGCGGACTGTGGACCAACTTTTCGTGGCCGTGTAACTCTCGCATCGTCACAGTGTGTCATCCGCTTCTCTGTCTGTGGGACCACTGCATCGTAGGTTTCTTCTGCTGCTCCACACGTAAGTACTGTTGCAATACCAGTTGGAGCAAATATAAATGGAATTATTTCACAGGTTTTCGACTGCTTCGTGTTCCTTTGTTCATCTGGCTTGTACATTTCTGTCGCTGCACTATCAGCTTACCATAATCTACTTTAGAGCCATCTTTGCACCACCGGCGTATTTTCGACGTAAGTTAACCTTTATGATTACAAGCCTTCTAAAGAGTTATAGATCATTTATGCATACATTGCACTGCATTGCACTCCATTATATCTGCGTACATCCACCCTTGTTTTTTTTAAATATTCAAAATGATTTGCAAACTATAATTTCTTTGCTAATTTTGTACAAAAATATGGTTCATACTACAAACCAGAGTTGTGAAAAATGCATTAATTTTTTAATGCATAGCATTTTAATGTTAATGTAAAAAATTAATGCATTAATTGTTAATGAAAATTTAAATGCATTAATCCCGAAGAAATAATGCTAATGAATTTTTTTATGCATTTACATTAGAATGTTTAAATTAATGCTATTGCAATAATTTATTGCATTAACAGTACAAAAAGCATTAAAAACCCATTAACTAATTTTATTTTGAAGTAAAAATTTTGAATGAAAAAAAAATTTACTGGTAGCATATTTCAATTATACATATTTATAGCACGAAACACAGAAACCTTAGTGATACGCGGCAATGTTGAGGAAGATGATACTCAATGGCTTAACTATGACCTGGATAACGAATCATTGTTTTGTAATGAGGCCACTGATGATGAAGATGGCAATTCTAGCCTTGAAGAACCATCTCAGTTAGATGAAATCGAAGCTTTACACGAAGATGGGTTGGAATATGTAGCAGGCTACATAATAAGAAAACTAGGACTCTCCCACCATATAAGCAAGGAGAGTTCCTATACATGGGTGGACGAAGCCTCAAGGGGCGCTTTGATTAAGCCTTCGAGTGAGTTCTTGAAAAAAATAAAGCAGTTAGAAAAAATTTTTTACCAATTCAACGGGCAGGTGATACAAACGCAGAATAAATTCTTTGAAAACCTAATAAAAAAAAGCGAAGGTTGTGACTACGAAGTTTATGCCAAAAATTATTTTTTAAGTGCAGAATGCATTTTCGAATTAAAAGACTGAATAAATTAATTAAAAAATCATAAAATATTCGTCTTATTCTGATTTTATTATTATATTCTGATGCAGCAACTAATGCTAAATTTAATAAACATTTACTTAAAAGTATTCCAAAAAATATGGAAATCATTTAGTCTTATATTTAAACTTAGTAAACAAATTTTCAATTCATACTTTGATACGAAAATGCGTACTATATTTAGTACTATTTCGCAAAGCGGCCTTTTTTCTTCCCTTTTCTCTCGTGCTTCGTATGCTTCCAAAATACAACCTTGAGCTAAGGGAGTCGTCGAAACGAGCTGTTACTACGTATATCACCTTTAATTATTGCGTCATGGTTATACACTGTGATGTCACGATCAGCAACAATTGCATCAAAATAAGTAAAAGCCACCGCAGAGGCTTTTTATTCAACTAATCGCCCGTAAATCGTTGACTAAAATGGAGCAACAGTAGTTACGCAAATTCCAGGAAATGTCCACAAAACACCGCATTAATCAACTTAAGAAAAACAGAAGCAACAAATTTTAAAACAAGTACTGGATCAAAACAATTGGGGCTCCAAACACCATCCGAACTTGCAAAAGTAAGAACTCATTTGTAGTACAAAATTATTATGGAAAATTATACCGATTCTGTTATGCCTTTCAGTGCACGAAAACCTATTGATGAGTTCATTGGCGAAGTCTATAACTCAACGGTTGGGCAACAACCTGCAAAAACACCCAAATATGTTGGCGAGTTTGGCGATGCTTGCGAGAAAAAACAGCAACTTGTTTCAACAAAACCATTTAGTATAATAAGGACTTATCGTTCATTTTTGGCAATTTTTTGTTCTCGCATTTTCTACCATACGAAGTATGCTCCAAAACTTTTTTGTATGGATAAAATCAGCAACACCTTCCACAAAAAAGTTGACAAAAATCAATGGTAACTACTAGCTACTTAAAATTTGCTCCTCGTTATAATAAAATTGGAGGAGCTAAACTAAAAAACTGCATTCTGAGAATGTTTCTAGAAAATCTAATTATAAAGCTGTCGAATTTTACAAATTTTTGTAGAAATTATTTTAAAATCTACGGTTAAGGCCTATCTGCAGCTCTCAAGAAGAACGAAAAATTCATGTAAAATGACGCACAAGAAATCGATAAAAAATTCCTTTAACAAAATTTCTTAAATCAGTATGGAGAATTTTCAGCAACTGCAAAGTACTTTTCCTAGCAACAGAAACAATGAAAAATATTTCTTGTGATTTTTCTTGGGAACTGCATACTGACTGTTATTAACACATTTATAGTCAGCAGAAGCTGCATATTTTTACTAATATGAGTACAACTAGGAAATGTACGGTTACCCCCAAAATTGAGCGTACGGCTCTTTTTTGTTAATATTCGCAATGTTTTACATGCTAAATTTTTTTTGTGAAGTTCGTTTTAAAATATGGCTTATGTTTTAGCAAATTCTATTTAAATCCAAGATGGATACTGTGTACAAAAATTAAGAAAATTTTTCAGAATTTATACGAAAAAAATGCGTAGGACAGCCAGCAAAAAGATTCTCAAAAATCAACGCGATTTTTTAGAGATTTGAAATTTGCTTATTATTATACTAAAATTTAATGGGCTATAAAAGTGCATACCTGAATTCTGTTTAGAAATTCGTATTAAAAAGTTCGCGATTTTGCTGAAACTTTGCAAATTTTTCTTTATTTTTGTACACAGTATCCACCTTGGATTTAAATAGAATTTGCTAAAATATAAGCCATATTTTAAAACGAACTTAAGGAAAAAAATTTAGCATGTAAAACATTGCGAATATTAACAAAAAAGAGCCTTACGCTAAATTTTGGGAGTAACTGTATTTTCGAATGAACTATTTATTTAAAAAAAAAGAAAAAAGACTATGAAAGAAAAGAACTACTTTTTTAAGAAAAGGACTATACATAATACTTTTTTAAGAAACGGCCTATGGAACGAAGTATTGCAATGCTATGTATAAGCGATATACTATTTTTTTTTAACATATTTATGTACACTTGTGATCAGCTAATTAAGCCAGAAACATTTGATCAATTTTGGCTATTTTGCTTTTGTTTATTTAATGTTTATTATTTTTCCATAAAAGTCTAGCTCATTATATAACTAACACCATATAAATCCACATTTCAAACTTTGTGCAAAAATTATGAAAAATCTGCAAAGTTTCAACTAAACTTTCAACTTTTTATTTAGATCTTTAAGAATTATTTTGAGTATTCAGTTTAATAGCCCATTAAATTCTAGGGTAATAATGTGCATGTCTTAAGTTGCTGAAAAATCGCGTTGATTTTTTAAATTTTTTTTGCTGATTGCATTACAACTTTTCTTCCATACAAAATAAATTCGACAATTTTTTTTTGTATGGAAAAAAGTTGTAATGCAATCAGAAAAAAAAATTATTAAAAATCAACGCGATTTTTTAGCAACTTAAGACATGCACATTATTACCCTAGAATTTAATGGGCTATTAAACTGAATACTCAAAATAATTCTAAAAGATCTAAATAAAAAGTTGAAAGTTTAGTTGAAACTTTGCAGATTTTTCATAATTTTTGCACAAAGTTTGAAATGTGGATTTATATGGTGTTAGTTATATAACGAGCTAGACTTTTATGGAAAAATAATAAACATTAAATAAACAAAAGCAAAATAGCCAAAATTGATCAAAATGTTTCTGGCTTAATTAGCTGATCAGAAGTGTAAGTACACAAAGAAGTGAAAATATTCTTGGATGATTTTTGTTTTGTAGTGTTATTTAGTTACTTGTTTATGTTTTTGTTTTGTTATTATTAAAGTTTATTAAAAGCATTTGGGAGAGATGGGAGTTTAGGTGTCCAAATGTTCGTTTGATTTTACAATGGGTTTCTACAGACGGAAATTTTATTTAAAGAAGACTTACACAATCTGGGGATTCACAAGAGCGCGTCGTAAAATCTTAATCTTAAATTTGTTGTACCTTAAATACAAAAAATTACAAAAGAACAAATTACTTACTTTTTATGTAATTTCAAAATATTTTAAAAAATCTTGCGGGAAAGAAATTTTATAAAATAATAAACACATGAATGCATGTTTTCATTTTGGAACTTGTTTTTTTATTTTATGCCATTGATACGGCACATCTCCGTCAGTTATGCAGTATTTACAGATATTAAGGGTATTCATCAAACCTTATAAATGCATTGTAAACCGTATAAACTTATAATTGTGTAATCCTTATAAATGAACTGTCAAAATTTGTATGGAAACTCGTTTACACATTTCTGATAAATTTATCCAGCGATATCACTGAATAAACTGGATAAACTGAAGACAATGCAACTCTAGCTATGTTTTCTTAGGCAATAATCGGGATCCGCATACAAATTTTGCACGCAAATTCAACAACGATATGATCCTGATAGAGATCTGGTTCAATTATTATCCCGTCTGTTTGTTTTGTTTCACTGATAATTCGCAAAGTTTGGTAGCCGTGACAAAT